ACAAGTTTGATGTAAAATTTTCCGCTCTTTCGAAATCCGCAGTCAAAAATAGGGTGTCCCATTAGAAAAAACCATCGTGACCTTGAAGTAACCTTCAAAATTGACCTCAAGGTCAAAACCAATGGTACAATTGAATGACCCCCTCTGTCCTGGTCAACTTTTATCTAAACCATTTTTTTGTAGATACCGTAATTTGGAAGATATTCGGATCCATAGACTAAAATGACTCACCCTGTATATTAAAATAGTATGTCTTCAAAAAATTAACGAAAGTCCCTACACAAAGTTTGGGATTAAAAGTATTATAGAATATATAAAGAAATACCTTAATAATAAATTGCGTTTTAACACATACTTTGTGTGTAGAGGTCTTTAGTAATATCCTAGAATCTGTTATTTTACTATAAAATAGATTTATCAGTTTAGCAACACGAAAGATTTGAACATATTCGATAGACAAAAACTTTAACTCGTATAATAACATTTCTGTTTACATACGATTGCAATTTTTCTATATGGTATCAAAAATATTTATTTATGAATCTTATATTTATGAAAATTTTTTGTTAATAACTTTTTACTAAACCATAAGCGACGGGTTAAACTTTTTAAATGTTACTGGAGAAAATATTTGTATATAATACGAACCATGTGTTTTCCTCTTAAATATATACGGAAAACTACGTCTTATTTATGAAACATTTTTTTAAATAATTTTTTAATAAATAAGAAGCGACGGCTGAAACTTTTTGCATGTTACTCAGAGGCATGGCTTTAATAAAATATGTTGAGGTAAAAATTATTGTGAAGACGGATCAGTTTATATAAATATTTACTACTAATTTATTAAGAAAAACGGAGTACTGTCATTAATTAGGAGAATGTCATTATTTGAGACATTCACCTTAACAGAGAGAGAAACAAGAAGGGACAATGGTTCAGTTGTTCGGTTTCCTTCAGTTGTAAAAGTCATCGATTGGAATTTTATTTCTTTCTCTTTTTCTCTCGCCTTTTCATCCTCGCGGTATTCCTATCGTTCGCTTAATGAAATTGTTTCTCTGTCTCCACGGGAGACATTCGAGTAGTCTATGTCGTAATTTTCAAGCCCATGTTTCTTTCGGCGATCGATACTTATCATCGTTTAACTCTGATGTGCGCCGCACTTGGCGCTCATGAGAAAATCACACGCGGCTTGACCGTGATACGACCGATAATAAGCGCAGTGCGAGAGTAAAGGTTCGTCCACATTTAATGTTCTCAATACAGAAGGAGAGAGATCTGCGTTCGTGAATGAGACAAAGATTATCTGACATTTGATAGTGCCGAGAGACAGACAGACAGAGAGTGAGTAAATGAGCGAGCGAGTGAACGAGTGAGTGAGCGAGTGAGTGAATAAGTAAGCGAGCTAATGAGTGAGTGAATGAGTGAGTGAGTGAGTATATGTGAGTGAGTGAGTGTGTGTGCGTGTGAAAAAGAATAGAGTGTTTATTCCCCCGAGATAAGACTTTATCAGGTATGTAATAAAAAAGAAAAAATATAAACATATATGAATTAGAAAAGTACTTGTCAATAATTATATAAGTAAATGAGCTTAATCCAGTCTATGCAATATGCTGTGAACAAGAAATTACAGAAATTACTGAAAACTATCACTCACCATTAAATCATACTAAATAATACAAAGACAAAATATTAAGTAACGAAAATATTTCACGAAATATTAATTAACAGTAGCAAACAAACTAACTCATTAGAGAATAGAGAAGAGAACTCGATAGAGCATAGAAAAAAAGAGTATGTAAATGAATTCGCTAGAGAAAATACAAAATAAGAAAGATTACGTATAGTATAAATGATCAATACAAACAAAATAATATATTTATATTGTAGGATTTACATTAAGTGTTTCTCCGGACTCGCAATGCCTACCGCTGTAACAGTCGATGACTCCCGTCTCAATAACTCCTGATAAAGTGTATCACGAAATAAGATACTAAGAAGGAGAAATAAGTGATTGCCCTAGAAAGAAAATTCTGAAGGTAGAACGCAGCAATAGTAAAGGACTTTTTGTATATTTCGGTACAGCATATTGGAATAACCAGTTTAAGAACAAAAAAAGTGTCGTTTTAGCGAAGAATGCAGGAGTCGCAAAGAAATCAAATAAGTAAGAAGCAGCTTGTTTCTGTAAAATTAAGTGCAATAAGCAACCGGTCTGTAGAAGGCGCCTCTGCTTCACCGATAACTACCTCTTAAACATTCTATAAGGAGTGATATGCTCATCGTAACGCAAACCATAGACAAAACGAACTGTAGCATTAAAAGATCTTTGCAATTTCGTATTCAAATCATCTGTTGAGTCATTAAAGATAACACTGTAGTAATCAAGGTGTGGAAGTACAAATGCCGAGAAAAAATACCTCGCAAATAACGATTAAAGAGATCTGTCTTTCTCGTTTTCTTCACGATTGAAGAAATCTCAATTTCGTTGCGACGATCACGCGGACGTTTTTCACGAGCGCGCCGTTACATAAATCAAAGCGAGTTATTTTTTCGCGCGGCCTTTAAAATCTCTCTGTTGGGTGCTGCGACTTCGGGACGAAAATAAATACCGATAAATCACATGCATCGTTGAATATGTGTGCCTGAAATATATCCGTCTGGCCGGACGACTGCAACAGGACACGCTCGGTCGTTTCAGGATCTGCGCGAGCAAATGTCACGCTTACATATGCTCGCGCGCGTCCAGTAGATAGGAATTGATCCGCGGCCAATTGTGTGTGTATTTATATCGTTCCAATTTTCTCACGGGGGTCTGCACGCGATTTCCTCTAAGTGCACTTTCGGATCTGTCGGGAGTCGTGTCGCTCTCCACTCCGTCAATCGATTATCACTCCTCCCCTTACGTAATTCCGTCGCGCGCACTTGTAACTTCCTTTCCTCCTCTTCCTTTTTGTTTTACTGCTTTTTTTTTCGAACTTCTCGTTGCGCGACTTGTCGGTGATTTTTCCTCGGTGGAAGATCACGGCTTCTTTCTCGCAGTTTTGCGTGTCTCGGGAAGTGATGAATTCCGGTGGCGACAAATCGCGATCGGCATTGCGCTGCGTTTCAATGGATAATTATAGTTGGACGCGATGCCAAAAATAATTGTCGGAGATGCGACAACGAAACCGAGTGCGAATCGAAGACGTTGGCTACTATCTTTTCTGATAGGTCGACTTTATGAATGTTCATGCGTCAATCGCGAAGTATATATTTTTCCGTAGCTACGCTGTAGAAGCCTCCACAAGGATTGAGATGCTGGTGCGATCGGAATTGGATATTTTTGCGCGTTAGAGTGCCGTACGTGGGTCGTAATGACGATCATTTGCACTTCCTGCAAGTCGCTGTTTGGATATGTGCAGGAACACTGTATGGCCGTGAGCCAATGTTGTGATTCTCATCTTGCGAGCTACGTCATTAATGCGCGTTCGTCTCAATTTTCCGTTTTGACTTCTTCCTGAACCTTCATTTATATAACTTCTCTGCGTCCGCGTTTTTTATCACTACAGTTATATACTTTGTCGTGATTACATTAATTTCAATTAAGCTTTACAGTAAAAGTTAAAAACGATCAATCTTAGAGGAATTAATATTCCGAGCAAATTTACTTTAGACGATATGTTTTTAAAGGGACAGAAACATATATAATGTATCCAATGTCTTAAAATGAAATTTCACTCGGAAAATCGAGTTATAACCGAGCCATTAGAATTTGAACGACTTATTATTCATAAAGAGTGAATCTCCTGTACTCGGAATCGGCGAGTAAAGATTTTCATTCAAAATTGAAGGGTGAATCTGCTGTGTTCCACTATTACAGAAACAAATTCATTCTAATGGTTTAAAATATTTATTTGTATGTAGGCGGAATTCACTCTAAGCTTGACTCAAATAAAAATGTAACTAGCCAATTTAATTCAAAAGCTAATAACTAGCTAATATGTTAAATTTTCTAGTTCGTTATTAGTTAATCATTCATTAAAATGTGAAATCAGTTTTGTAATTTAGATGTCGTCTAACTATTACATACTGGATATGATAGAGCAGAGATAGTGTTATCTGTTCTCTAGCTACTAAGATAAATTACATAGTTATTGGCATCCCTCTAAGTAATTAATATTTAAAAAAAGTTGGTTTTTCTTATGATAAGTGGTATCTATTTACAATTTTATTTATGAAAATTTTGTCTATACTTTATGATTCTAAAAAGAAATCATAAAGTGCAGACAACAAATTTAACTGCAATATTAATTGCATGAAAAATTACGTTTTTCTAGAGTGACAATGATTAAAAAGAATGCCACTAATTATATGGATTACTCCATATAGTTCTTAGCATTTTGAAACAATATGGTTACAAATAAAAATTGAGATTATATTATTACGTGAATGACTTAAAAAAACAGAAATGCGCATTATTTATTACCTGACAACTATGATTTTTCATTTTATAACATTGTAATTTTTTTACCTTGCCGATATCTAACATTTATATAGGCTAACATTTATATAGCCACTAAAAGAATAAACATTACTGTTTACATTACTGGTTAGTAATGATGTAAGACTCAAATTTATTATTTCGTTGTTAGACAATCACAAGATTCAATTTATTCGGGGAATGAAACATTCATCCTTATATTCCAATTCCGATTTATGGCGATATCCTCACTGTCGCTTCGAATGAATTTTCACTTACTTTGAGTGAGATTTTACTTCAAGATGTTTAAAGTGTTTCAATTGAGCTCCCGTTTGGATAGAAACTTTATTGAAAAGACAATAATCGACGTAACGCGCCTTCCTCTTTGTTTCCAGAGTGGCAGCTCAGGCCGTGGGCCGGCAGGCCAGGGCAGCAGCTTGACCTCGCCCCCGCCCTCACCATCGGAGGGCAGGCACGCTGTCGACGAGACATCTACCACCGCCGTCCTTGAGATGAGCAGCACAGACTCTGCTGGCAGCGCTCGCGCCAGCGGCGGCGGGCCCTCCTGTGGCCTCGTCAGTTCTCTCTTTCCTAGTAGCTGCCGTGGTCGCGCGGAGGCGTTCGCTAGGCGTCTTCATCGTCGACTGACTTCATTGGGTGGCGAGAACGGCTCGCCCGAGCGAGACGTGAATATCGACAGGCAGCCACACGAGACCTCATGGCTACACCCGTCATCGTCCGGCAATCGTGCCGTGATAAGTACCAACAACGGGACCACCAACCACGTTCTGCAACGTCAGCCGCGTCACAGTCCGGAATCAGACCTCTTCTTCGATTTCGACGTCGAATTAGAAAATGGGCCGGGCTCGCCTGCCGAGGAAGCGACGGCTGCGGAGTTGGCTCACCTGTTAATGAACCCGGAGATTCTGAAAGCAAACCATCATGACGCCTGCCACTGTTCGCCGAGTGGCACTAAAGCGGTGCCCGCCCCAGGTCTTCATCAGGACACCGAAACCGGCTGCATGTATGTGTCGCCAATCAACGGCACACCGCCCGATAGCGATTCTTCCGAGATATTCTTCGATCCAGAATCTTCTGACACGGAGAAGCCGAAGAGCGAGGCCTACTTCGATCCCATCACCACTACCTCGGATAGCGAGGTCACATCGAATCTTTCCAATTGTCCTGCAAAGGCCAGAATCAGTAGTAGACGGACGGACAAGAATATAGGAATACGGATCTGCGAGGACACATCCGAGTCTGAAAGCTGCTCATCGAGAAGGAAATCTGCACCCTGTGAAAATGGTGATCTGCGGGAGGAGTTGGTCTGCAGCTCGGAGGACTCACTGAACGGTAGGAGCTCACAGGAAACGACGTCGCCCAGCCACGAATCCCTATGGAGTACGTTTGACGATAGCACGGTGTCGCTGCAAGACGAGAGCCCACCTAGGTTTGACCAGCCTGATCAAATCATCCCGCATAATCGCCTACCCAAGTCGCATTCCGACTCGGAATTACCGAGCAACGGTCCCAGCGCATTATTGTCCAACAAGCTCGACAGGTGGCACGAGGAGGACGAAAACGAGTCCAACGAAGTCGACTTCGTTCGTGTATGGTCGGAGGAGGTGATTAGAAACGGCAAAGACTTTGCAGTCAAGGACGATGTTCACAACGACACCGAGAACTCCTTCGACACGGAAGACGACGAGCAGGAGTCAGCGGAGTCTACGGAATCGAAGATGACGCCGTCCGAATGTTCGTCTCAACTGAAGATGGACGATACGATCGCCAGCGACACTGATACGGATCCCTCCACTTACAGTAGTACTATCAATGTCCCTGTTATGCTCACGTTGGAGTGTCCAACGGGTGACCGAGTGATCGAGACATCAATTTTGAAGAACGAGGTGGAGTTGCAGATTGACAAGATCGCGCAGTCGAATAATAGCGAAGATGACAACAACGACGACGACGACGGTAAAATGCGTCTCCTACTGACTAAGCTCAGTAGCAGTCCTAGCGCGAAGGAAGAAGAGGAGGAGTCCTCATCGCTGGAACAGGAGAGTCAAAGCGAAACAGTAGAAGAAGAGGAAGAAAGACCACAGCGTATACGCAGATGTTCCTCTCTGAAGACTGGTAAAACGCCACCTGGTACACCAGGCAGAAAAAAGATTGTCCGATTCGCAGACGTACTCGGCCTCGATTTGGCAGCTGTGAGAACCTTCTTGGACGAGATACCGAGGATACCAAATTCCGCGTATAGCGACTTGGTCTTCCAAAAAGACGATTTCTTCCAGAAGGACAGCAGTCCGGTGAGCAACGCGCTATCGTCTGTCGGTAACGGTTGGGGTGATTGTTACTCGAACGACAACAACGGCAGACGGGGTTCTATGCCATTATCCAGAAAGATGGAGCGGATGTTAGTGCCGTTATTTCAGCAGCCGGGCGGCATGGCAAACTTTCTGGATCTGGTGCGTGAGCGGCGAGTATGCCTAGAGAACGTCTTGGTGCAGAACCCGACAATCCTGGCGATTCAAGGCACAGTGCGCGTTATCAACCTTGACTTCCACAAGTCCGTGCATATACGCTACACTCTGAACTCCTGGCGGAACTTCAGCGACTTACAGGCCACCTACGTGCCCAACTCGTGCGACGGCTTCAGCGATAAGTTTTCCTTCGTTCTCTACTGCCATACTCTGTTGATTGGTCAGCGGCTAGAGTTTGCTGTGCGATTCCAATGCAAGGGCACGCAATACTGGGACAACAACGGCGGGGCCAATTATTGCTTTCAATGTCTGCCGGGCTCGTCGCCGGTCAGTTATATACCAATCACCGCCGGTGAGAGCAGCCGACATACCGACTGGTCGCCGATGTTTTACTGATGGCTGTCGGGGCTGCGCGTCCGCCCGATTCGATGACACGACTCGATGCGCAATGACGCGGCACCTGGAACACGAAGAGACTGAACATGGTAGTCAAAGGAGCTGACGGCTCGAACTCGCGTTCGAGACTCGATGGTTTTTAAACGTTCCTAAGCGAGAGATAAAAAGAAACAGAGAAAGAGGTGTTTCGCAATGAAGCTGCGGTGAAAACTGACGCCGGATGCGACCACATGTCCGGGATTGATTTACTTTACTTTGCCACTCCAGGAAGCTTCCAAGGAGTTCGTGTGACGATCGATTTCATCATACGAGGCTAATGCAAAGGACGCCTCGAAGTGGACAATTTAAACGCACGGATGCAGGGACATGGACGAGGAGTGTTCGTGAATCGATCTATCGTTTTGAAAAAGTTTAATGGACGGGCCAGGTGAAGGATTCATAGTTTCGTAATAAAATATCTCGGACGGTTTTTATAACTTTTCGATAATTTCCAGTGTAATAATAAGCGTAGAAAACACGCAGAAAAATGTATACTGCATTTAAGAAGATGTTACTTGTTTCACAAGTATTTCATAAGTTTATTTGTAAATTTATCGTAAATTCATTACGAGTTTCTAAATTTATTAAAAATATATTCTGCATCCTAGCAAGTTTAGCATCTCAATCAAGAATATTTAATAAAAAAAAAATTTAATTTGTTTACTACATAAAGTCGAATCAACTTTTTTTTAAATAAAGTTTTATGATATTGTAAAGAAAATAAATTCCTTTTTTGAGTACATGATAATAAGATTTTCTAAAATTTGTGATGGATATATTTTAAGACTATTAAATAAGAAAATATTCTTTTTTGAAAATAACCTTTACTTTAAAGAACGAAAGCAAACTGAATAATTGCTTTTCTTAGCAGTATATATTTTTCTCTGCGTAAGAAGAAATCTGCTCTACTAAATTTTGTGACAATTGGTTGGTTTATGCACATTCCTTGCGAAGTGTTCCCCTGCGTGAGAAGAAAATGCTCTTGACTTTTCTTGCGGTGATACAATTTATGAAAGAGAGAGGAAGAGAGTAAAAGAGAAGAAGAGAGAGCGAGAGCGATATATATATATATATATGTATATATATATATATATATATAGATATATATATATATATATATATATATATATATATATATATATATATATATATATATATATATATATATGTATGTATGTATATATTATGATTGCGAATTTTTAACGACCAAAATTGTGTAGAAACCATAGCGAACAAGGCAACATGATAATTGACAGACATTCTTACAAATCATAAGGAGGAAATAATAATTGTAAATATTTTGAATTTACTGCAAATCTTTTACATTTAATGACTCATTGCTATGAGTCTCGCAGCGAGAACACGATTATAATCATTAAGATTCAGTCGTGATTGTCGTGATTGTCGAGTGAAGACTCTTGCGTTGATTTTGAAAATTGATTTTGATAATTAATGTCTTGTGAATAAAAGAATCAATATCACTTGGCAACAAACGAAAAGACCGTACATGTTCATGTTGATGTACTGAATATTTGGAAAACTGTTGTCTTCGATCCATGAAAATACTATCGACTGATCTATCTTCAGGATACTGAAATGATTCGAACAGTTTTTCAATATCAGAGACTGTTGTGTGTATATATATATATATATATATATATATATATATATATATATATATATATATATAACGTAGTTTTACAAGAAGTAAAATATATATCTTTCTCGAAACCTCTCTCTTTTCACAGACATTTCCCGAGAGATTATTTATGTTCGCTATTTTCTCGAACTGTGAACAAGCGACCCACGCACACATATATGTACGCACTACATACTATGGAGATTATAATTTCGAGAGCGGAAGGATCTTTTGTCGGACTGCGGAAAACAGGAATCTGTCCGAGAGCTGTGAAGTGGCCTAAACAGAACTAATGACAGGCAATACTAAGAACAAATACGTGTGAAGCCTCCGAGAGCGGGTTTGAGTATCGGTTGTTTTTAGGACAACGAACTTCACACAGGTTTCAGAAAGGCGGAAATATGTATGTAGTCAATGAAAGAAATGTTGCAGCACTTTCTTTTCAACGAGAAAATTTGTAAATATTTGTTGAGAAATTGTAAATATTTTAATTAGGGAGCTCAACATCTCGATGATCTTGATCGTGACATATATTGTCAATGTTATTAGCTTGAATAACATTTATAGGGTCTTAGCTGCCGATTAATGTACCTGTTACAAAGTTATTAACAACAGGAGTTGTAAAAAAATAATATAATTTTCAGAAAGCATGTATGTATTAAAAACAAAAATTATAATTATAAATAAATAAGTATATATATTTTAAATAATACAGGGTATTTGATAAATTAAGATGACATGTTCATGTGTGTAGGTAGAGCGAATCAAACTTAGTACAAGAAGTTCCTTTATCATTTTGCAAATTTCGCAATAACTATATTAAGAAATTAATTAATTAATATATTAACGAAATATTTGTTGACCATGTGCGTGTAAGAACTGTGAACGTATGGGCTACGTCTCTCTCTGAACGATTTGCATACGAGTTTGAGTCATCTAAATATATTTATATATTTTTTGTATTTATATATAATATTAATATTTTTCAATATTTATGCTATATGCTATATATGCTATATACGCTATATATGGTATATCTAGTATATATACTATATATATATTGTATTATAGTATATATATATATATATACACTATATAGTATTTATATATAACATTTATACATATACTATAGTGTGTTTATACACACACACACACACACACACACACACACTATATATATATATATACTTATAGCATTAAAGGAGAAATAGTAACATTCATTTGATCTTGAAATGACCGCTCTGTCCATGTTATCTTTAATTTTTTAAATGGAATCATTTCCATAAGCAAAATGACGAAGAAGAATTGATTTAGGCCGAAAGAAACCATTGATTCTATTTAAAAAATGAAAGTTGATCTTGAAAAAGATTATTAATAGTCATTTTAAGATCAAATAAATATTATTATTCTTTTTCCTCGATATCCTACAACTTTTATTGGAAATATTTTTCATATCTTTCGATATCTTCTTTTGATATCTAAGATATTAAAGAGTTATATGAGCCCTGTATATATATATATATATATATATATATATATATATATATATATATATATATAT